GTGCGTTTGTTTGTTTGTTCTGATAATAAATCTTTGAAATTCTTGCAATAATCTTTCTACGGTAAGAACTGAAAAAGAAAACTAAAGAATTGTGCATCCGGGTCTCTTGGGTTATGGAAGGATTTCTTTCTTAGAAAAGAAACTGAGCCAAGATGCGCCGAGGTCTGATACTCCATAGGCCTACTTAGGACCTCTATCCATCAACGACTTGTGCGACGTTGGGTGTGCGATGGCCTAAGTAAAAACTAGGTCTATCCATCCTTCGAGTAGAATTGCATCAGATCTTTCTGTTTTATTTGGTGGGCTCAAAATTTCTAAAGTTACTACGGAGATAGGGATTCATTCAGCAAGAAAAAAAGGGGGTCATAAACAGAGACATTTGAAGGTGCTTAGTCCCAAACTAATGTCAACTCCGTCACATTCATTAACATAAGTTAGGTTGACGACATCATTTCCATGAATCACATTATCTGAATATTTTGAACACCTTTTACTATGATTCTTGGGCCTTTTTTGAATTCTCTCTCATAAAGAAATGGAAATCAAATGAATGTTAAGTCTAAATATCATATTTTGTTTTTGTTTTCTATCTTTTTAATCCCAAGAGATGCTTTTTAATCCATTTTAGCTCTTGCAGGAACAATACAAACTGGTAAAATATCATATTTAGGCTTTCTAATTTACGGAATCTATGCCTAAGCATCCTAAGATATTCATTGACAAATTTAGTTGTCTTCCGGTCGATGTTGCCCATAAAGTGCTTTCTTTTCTTTCCATGGAAGACATTTCTCGACTGAGTGTTTTTATTGTGGATGACAAAATATATAGAAGCAATGCATCAAAACGAGCACGGCTAAGGAACTACCTCGATAGGTTTCTTATTTTACGCAAAGGAACAGATATTCAATGTTTCCACATCAAGTGGCATGTGCAAAGCGTCATTACTGATGAAGAAGAGTATCGTGTTCTCTCATGGTTGCATAGTGCAGCCATATGCAATGTTAAGAAGCTTCGTCTTCACATTAACCTTAGGAGGGAATCAGATTTAACACTGCTACTTAATCTTCTTTATTGTGTATTCTTGGAGTCTCTTACATTGAACTTTCACGTTGGCTTTGGCATACTTAAGATTCCTTCCTCCATCAGTGCTATTGGATTATCTTCTCTCAAGTATTTAAAACTAAGCTATGTCAAAATCAATGAATCCTTTGGCAATTGGGTTTCATCCAACTGCAAATTCCTTGAGGAGTTATTCCTTTTTTCAATAAGAGCGACGGAGAGCCTTTCCATCACCAGTTCTTCTCTAAAAGTCTTGGAAATATTTTGGGTTCTTGGCCTTGAACATCTTCATGTATCTGCACAGATACTTGAATGAATGGCTTTGGTTTGGATATTCAGTTCCGATGACGACAAAAGCCTACAACTTTTTACTGCCAATCTCGAAATATTCAATTTCGTATGGATAGGAGATATAAACATCTAAGAGTACAACCTTCTCCCAAGCTTGAAATATTCAATTTCATATGGACCGGAGATATATTCAACTTCCAGCTAACGGGTAGTTTTAGGTGCTTAGTTGAAGGAAGAATGTGCTCAAAACCCTCTTCCTGTATCACTTCTTATGAGAACCTAGTTCGTTTTCTCCCTCATGTTGGCAAGATTAGAAACATGAGAGGTCTAGTTCTATATGATGATTCTATACAGGTAAATATCATTACTGCTCAAGAATTTAGAAAGAAGGTTGAGTTAAATGTCTTTCTCATTTCAGTAAAGTTTTACTAGAAGTACTAATGAATTTTGTTATTCTGTTTAATTTTGTTTTTTGACTGACTCAAATCCGTTTATTTAATACACCTCACACAATCACTATAGTTTTATATTAAGTTTGACATTATTTTGTTTACTTAAAGCTTCAACTTAGTTTCACCAGGTTGTTGAAATAGTAGATGGTGATTTATATGTGATCAGCTGCAGCATACCTTTCAAAATAGACAAGTGGGTCATTTGGTTCATAAGTTTGAACATAAATTTTAATTTTTTGTGAGATAAAACATTGCAGCAAAAAAGTTTGAACTGGGGTTCAAAGCTGTGAAAGAAACAAGCTAAAGGTCATCAATTGGAAGGAATAGTGATCCTCCACTTGTTTAGTATCAAACAATTGTTACAAGTGCACATGATTAGTTAAGTTGTTACGACGCGATTAAATTGGTTTTAGAATTAGTTGTGGAGTTTGGCTTTTTGAATGTATAAATTATAAAATATGCTTGATTTTAAGTAATGTGAGGGTTATCATAACAGCGACCCATAAAATAATGTTGCAGGCTTTGTTTAAGCGGGGTTATCGGTCATTTTTAATCGTGGAATTGTGAGCACTACATGTGTTAATTACAGTTACCATTGATGACCTACTACCAGCTATGGCATTCTTTTTCAAAAGAACACCAAATCTGCGTTGGCTTTTTATAACCGGAAAGATACACAAAGTCATTCTAGTGAAATTGAAGAGGTATTGTCATACAGTCTATCTCTAGAAAATACATTATTGTTATTATATGTTTGTCTAATTATTTTTTGATGATTCTGTTTGATGTGTTTCTTGGCACTGTAGGAAGATGGTAGAATCATTAGAACTTGAGAAATTGCGAGACATCCTGTTTATGCATGATTTGAAGTTTGTAACAATCGAACTCATTAGTCAAGCGAAGAACGAGTTGGAGCTGATAAAGTACTTGCTTGAGCATCTGAACAATCTGCTAAGGATGACTCTGTTGTATGCTCCTCCCTTGCCTTTAGATGTTAGTAGAGAGATAACCGAATATGAGAAGGCTTCTTTTCACGCTGAAGTGGATTTTCGTCCAATATAAAAGCCTTTTCGCTTCTCCTTGTAAGAATCATTTGCAATTGAATATATTGTTATCATATCTGTTCTTTATTAAGTCACAGATTACTCTTGTGTTTTGCCAACTCATTGTCCAAAGGGATGGCAATTTGTGTTTGCGTGTCATCTTCATATTAGCATGATTATGGCACAATAAGATTAGAATGAACATGAACACAACATGATTAATAAACGTTACATGAACACAGGACGTCTATTATACGGATAACATGACATCCGAATATGTCTATTAATCGGGCCGTGATAAGTTGATACGAAAGAAATACGTTTATTACTCGTTTATAACTTAAATAAGATGAATTTTGGGAAATTATATATGTATATATATAACTAACATTAACTGACTACTAAATATTTACAGCTAAGTTTATTTTAAATATTTTAATATTGTCTATTGTCTTGGGTATATATGGGCCATAAGCGGGTAGATTTGTGTTGTGTTTGCACATTGAAGACTTATATAATCAAATGTGTTATATCTATTAAGCGGTTAGACATGAATTTAACTCGTTTATTTTCATGTTATTCGTGTCAACCTATTAACAACCTGTATATTAAAGGTGAGGTCCAAACACGTTTATTTCATGTCGTTTTCGTACCGTATCATCGTGTAGTGTTACTTGCCTATTCAATCCAAAGTAAGGTTTATTTATTTTTATTTTAAAAAAACAAGAGCTCTTGCATTATGGGGCCCACTAGTCATTAAATGTTGCAGAAAGGAAATCGTTTTAGGTAATTTTGACAAATACCTCTTAAAAATATATGGATCAGAATTTTACCTTTTACTTTTGATTCATAACCTTTTTAATCAAATAATTGCACTAATAAAATGGTATTTATCAAGAGTAAAAGGTAAAAATAAATGCTCCCTAGCTTTATTCATCGACATGCCTTTTTAAGCAATCTTTTTTGTAACCTCGTGTCTCTTTCTTTCATGCTATAGAATAGATTATAGTAACAATAATCCCTAATAATAATAATAATACAAAATCACAATTATTAAGGTAAAATTAAGAAAGTGAAAGAAAATGAATGATGATATATTTATGAGTATAGTTTGATGTTACATTTGAAACTTCCAGCAAGCAAAGACAACGTTCGACTAAACCCAAAACCCAAACTCCACCAAAGTATCGCTTCACTTTCAAACATACATTATAATTTCTCATTCCTTTTTTGTTTCCTGTATTCTTCTCATATTTCAAAGTGCTCTCAAGATTTCTGGTTATCTTTGTAAAGGGTGTTTCATTTTCTCAGCAACAGAAGATGAGAAAAGTAAGCATTTTTCCGAGTGTCACTTTTCAAAAGGCATGGCTTTCTCTCTCATTTGTTTTCTTTTGCAATATTGTACACCATGTTTAGAGATAGTGATATAGAAAGAAGAGAGAGAGAGAGAGAGAGAGAGAGAGAGGTTTTAGATAACAACTTGTTATACATGTTTTCGTGCGTTTTTCTGGAAATTTTTGTTTGATAAGATCAGAGCAAGTTTAAAATCTTTAGATTGATTTCTTAGGTTGTGGTTTTCCTTTTTTTTTAAGTTTCTGTGTTTCATAATCCTAGGTGTTGCAACGACGAGAGAGAGAGGTTTTAGATAACAACTTGTTATACATGTTTTCGTGCGTTTTTCTGGAAATTTTTGTTTGATAAGATCAGAGCAAGTTTAAAATCTTTAGATTGATTTCTTAGGTTGTGGTTTTCCTTTTTTTTTAAGTTTCTGTGTTTCATAATCCTAGGTGTTGCAACGACGAGAGAGAGAGGTTTTAGATAACAACTTGTTATACATGTTTTCGTGCGTCTTTCTGGAAATTTTTGTTTGATAAGATCAGAGCAAGTTTAAAATCTTTAGATTGATTTCTTAGGTTGTGGTTTTCCTTTTTTTTTTAAGTTTCTGTGTTTCATAATCCTGAGAGAGAGAGATTATTATTTGATAACATCAAAGCAAGTTTAAAATCTTGAGATTGATTTATTTGGTTGTGGTTCTTTTTTGCTAGCTTCTGTCTTTCTTAATTCCAATAATGCAATGACAATCTGTCCCCTATCTTGTTGTTTTAGGAAGAACAACAAAATTTTTAAAAAAAAGTCATGATTGATTATGGAAAATATGTCCAACTCTCCTGGGACAAGCATTGACAGATTCAGCAGCCTTCCTGATCGTGTTGCCCATAATATTCTTTCCTATGTTTCCATGGAAGACATTTTGCGCCTTTGTCTCGTCTCCAGAAGGTTTAGGCAGCTCTGCATATCTGTCCCATGCTTGAATTTTGATGTCATTCCATATAGAGACAAAAAAATCAAAAGAGCTCGGCTTATGAACTACCTCGATAGGCTTTTGTTTCTGTGCAAAGGGATGAATATTCGACGCTTTTACATCCGTTGGAGTCAGCGAGACAGTCTTGTTTTAGCTGATGAAGAGTATCACATACTCTCATCTTTGCATAATGCAGTCATATGCAATTTTGAATTGCTTAATATTGATATCAAACCGTATTGGAGTCATTTATCTCGTGTGGTTCATTTTGGAAAGGAATCAACAGATTTTTCGCTGCCGCCGAGTCTTGTTTGTTGTAGATCATTGAGGATTCTTAGAGTGAATTTGCATAGTGGCACTCTCAATTTCCCATCTCCCCATTACCACTTTCAGATTCCGTTCTCTTCAGTCCTTGTTGCTGCAATCTATTTGAATCAACTTACTGCAAGTTTCTCAAGCATTTATGCCTTCAAGACATAAGGGGGGGCAAAACGCATCACCATAACCAGTTCTCTCAAAACATTAAAGATTTTGTCATCCGATGACATCTTCAATCTTAATGTTTCCGCAGACACGCTAGCACAGATGGCTTTATGCTGGAGATTCGATTTGCCTGCAAATAGAGTACTGCAACTTTCCACGATCCAAAGATCGAAAAGTTTCGTTGAGAAGGAAATATATTGGACTTCCAATGCGTGGAAATTTTGATGTACTTGTGTAGTGTTGGAATTTTTTTAAGACCCTCTTCTGACTTAAGGGCTTCTACAACTGAGAACCTTGTTCGCGTTCTTCTTCGCAGTGTTCGCAACATCAAAACTTTGGTTCTACATGATACGTATATACAGGTAAATCAAACCACCCTTTCTTTTTCTTATTTCAGTACCAAATTAACATTGTTTATCAGTCCACACTCTATAAGTTTCTTTTATAGGTGTTTACTGTGACCCATGCTTGTAACAACAATGAGATGTATAATGTTGCAGGTTCTGTTTAAGCATGGTTGTCCTCCAACTTTGTTCACACATTTATAAATACTGCATGTATTTACCTCCAGTATGAGTGAAGACTTTGTACTCGCTATGGAATTCCTTCTCAAAGTGACGCCAAATCTGCGCGGTCTTTGGATAAGCACCAAATCCATGCAAGGCAATAATAATGCGAAAAGGGTATGGCTATACTACTTGTTATAACCTTGAAAATAAAACCGCAGACTTTTCTGTGTTTCAGTTTAACCAACTGATGTTGTTGCCTAATTCCATGTTGTTGTTGTTGACTAATTCTGTTGATGTAACTTTTGGTGAAAGTATGGGACATTGCGGGTGGAAAAACTTGGTGTTTATGCACAGTTTGGAATATGTGAAGATCAAACTCGTTAGCGAAGGGAAGAATGAATTAATGGAGCTGATAAAGTGTCTTCTCAAAATTCGGGAGTGGAAGGTCCCTTGTAGCTTCGTCTCTTATGGCTTAGATGAGATCATGGATTCTTTTCTTTCTAATGTGAGACAAAATGCTTTTCCACTTTTTCTCAATTTTTTAAAAGTTTTTCCTTCAGTTTTCCCCCAACTTCAAGGGAGCATTTTGAGACTCAATTTCTCATTCATATTTTAACCATTTTGAACATATAAAAATATCATTTTGATCTCCTCACAACGGAGAATACAATTTCTAAATTGTGTCATCATTGACACGAAGTGGATTCTGCCCAAAGTCGAGTCTCAAAATAGTACCCTCAAAAATGGTTATCAAGTCATTTTTTCAACAGTTTTCACCGACTATAGAGGTGATATTGAAACTTGAAAGAGTCATTGGTAAAGAGTTTGGAATGATGACTTTCTATATATTTGTTTGATTACATCGCATGGTATATATATACACGTACAAGTATAATTGAAGTGCTCGATTTTAGGAGGTATATTAACCATCCGAAACTAGAACCTAGGGATGATCTATATTAGGTTGTTGAGATTGTTTGAGCTTGAGAGATTCTCGGGGCTGAAGATTCTGCAGAGGTTCCCATGGTTGCAGCTGTAGAAGACTTAGGAGAGGTTGTTGCAGAGCATTTGCTAACACGCCCCCGCAAGACGGTGCTCCCATTGGAGATTCCGATCTTGGAACGAATTTGATTGAACAAATAGAAGGACAACGGTTTTGTAAGTGCATCAGCAAGTTGTTCCTTGGAAGCAATGTGGGACACCTTGAAGGAGCCTTTTGCAATATGATCCCGTACAAAATGATAATCAATGGCAATGTGCTTCATATGGGAGTGAAACATCGGATTAATAGACAAATAAGTTGCTCCAATGTTATCACAAAAAATTGTTGGAGTTGTTGCGTTCGTAATGTGAAGTTCACGAAGTAAGTTTTGTAGCCAAAGAATCTCAGCAGAGCATGAAGCGAGAGCTCGATATTCAGCTTCAGTAGTGTAATGACCGAGAAAAATTTAGGTCTAATCCGGACAGTCCGGTATTTGACCGAAATCCTTTCCAGAATAGTAAGTAGTAGAATTTTGATGTAATCAAGAAAATGTTATGTAGGAACTTTATGTACGGGGTAAAATTTCTCAAAATATGTAAAGTTATAATACGAATATGTTTATAAAGAAAATTCGTAAATATTAGTTATAAATAGTGAAATACCAGTTAAAAGTTAAAAATTTTAATGGGTACATTTTAGTTATGAAAAACTAAAATGTTTGGTTTGTGACTAAATGATCAGTTAGAAAAAGAGTAGAAATATTAGAAGTAAGAAAAATAGTAAAAGTTCCTGAAATAAAATTTTTCCGAGCCAGTTAAAGTGAGAAACTACTAAAAAAATGAGTATCGCGAGGGTACGCGTTTTGGACAATTCTGAATCGATTAAAATGAAAATTCCAGAAAAAGAAATTGACTAATGAAATACCTAAGAGAATTGGGTTGAACATGAGAAGTTTGACCCAGGGTACTCGACAGTTCAGAAAAGTAGTATAGAACCTGTCTTGATTGTGAAATTATTAGTACCGGAAAGAGACTTGTTTTGAGAAACGAAAAGTTAGGTCTCGACAAGAAAAATTTGAGGAGTATAGAACCCACTCATTTGCTAGCACGTATCTTGGATATAGCAATGAATAAAAGTAGGTTGAACAAAGTTATAATATATATATATATATATATTAGATTATTCTTAAGTACGTTAAAAAAAAGTGAAAAGGATAGTTACCGTGAGGTGGAACCTCACATGCAATAACACCACTTGTCATTACATAAGCTTAAGTTGAAGGGTGACTCACGGCATGGAGTTACCAATGCCAATCTCACGTGGAAAAACAATAAGCAAAGGCTATTACATACTTCACATGAAGTATAGCAGAGGGAAAAAAAAGACGTGAGAAAGTTACGAAGAAAGAAAAAAAAAGAGAGTTGTTAGAGAAAGACGGAGGAAGGAAAATCAAGCATTTTCACTGAGATTTCTTCCGTTCAGTCCGGTAGAAATGTAACCTGAGGCATTCTAGTGAAAAACCTCAACTTCTAGAGGTAAGATTTCGGATTTTTCATGAGAATTCTATGATTTCTTGATTTGGATGAATAGTAACTCATCTCGGAAAACTTTCGTTAAAGTGAAAATCGAAAGTGAGGTTTTGTACAACATCGTAATAGGAGTCTAACGGTGTAAGTATTAAAACGATTGAATGAAGTTTTGGTGGATTTCTATTGAAAATCCGTGAGCTTAGATTAAGAAAGAACATATGTTTTGTTCAATTTTATGTTAGAATCTGTGTTCAGGAATGTAAATCTTGACTCCAAGTACTGAAATCAGAAGTAGAACGAGTTATTGAAAACTCGGGAAACGAGAAAAATAATGCGAAATTCTGCCAAAATTTCCTAAAAGTTAGTTAGTAAGCAATGAGTTAGTAATTGATTCTAGAGAATGAATAACAGTTTTAAAGCTCGGAAATGGACAGATTAAGGTTTAGAAACTGAGATACACAAATATGTGTAATTTACCTCTTAAACTAGGATTCGGCCTAGAGGGAAAAAATGGTTCAGAAACGAGTTTGAAATTAGATTTAAGAATCTAAGTATGAAGAATTGTGATTTAGAATATGAAATTTATACCTATTTCCATGAAACAGGTTTTGACACGAGAGTCGAGACAACGAGAAAGAACTTTCAGCAAGCGGGAATCCTAGCGAATTATAAGTAAGTATAGACATATATGTTTGTCTGGACTCAAGTAAGCTGTAGTTAGATTTAGAACTATGAATTTACTTATGTTCCTAAGTTTATGTGATTATATGTGATTATACGTGTTTGGAGGGCTCAGTGCCCTAGATTGCAGAAGGGCAACACATGGCTACCCTTATGCACAGTTAAAGTATGCAAGTAGTATTATGCATTTTATGTTAGCATGTGCACGTAAAGAAACTTTGCATATCATTCAGTAAAGTTTTTAACACTTTGAAATGAAAAAAACTCAAAGTTCAATAATGTAAAGAGACTAACGGGTCGTCAGCCTCCCAAGAGAGGAAAATCTCAAAGAGTAGAGATTCTGACTAGACTATACAGTAAACAGGGGCCCATGCCCACAGTAACAAGACAGTAAGTAGGGGTCCAGGCCCACAGTAGTAAGAACAAAAAGACAGAAAGCATGTTTCACACGAGCATATTTGCATCATAACTTTTAATGTAATTCTTTTCTAGTTTATGATGTGTGCATGTTTATACTTGCTGAGCGTTAGCTCATCAGTTTACTTGTGTGTAGGTAACAAAGGTAAGCAGCCAGCCATATAGTGGTTTTGCTTGATGGACTGGCAGAGGCAAGGGGGGCGGAAATGTCATGGGTACACGGGAGTGGCCTCTACTACACTCGTTTAGAAATTAAATTCCGCTGCAGAGTAATGTAATATAGAACCAAGTTTATATGTTTCAGTTTTAAGGAAAAGATGTTACGGGCATTGTCTTAGTAAAGAACAATAGACTGTAATAAGTTAAGATAAGTTTCAGGGACTTGTTCCATATCCGATTTCTTAAAGTATTAGCAAGGATAAGTTGTTGTATAACAAAAGAACATGCTAGGAACATGTTAAGAACCCGAAGGTTAAAGAAAAAAAAAATTTACTCGTACAGAAACATAAATTAAAGAGGCGATAGTCTAATAACAAGTAATATATTAGTCTATAACTTGGCCTAATAGTAGTAGTTTAAGGTTGGTGACCCGCTGCTAGGGGGGGAGGCGTCACAGGTAGACAAACGGGCCACTGTCTTTTGCTTTTTAGAGCACCAGGAGACAGCATTACCACCTAAATAGACAATGTAAGCTGATGTCGAGGTGCGGTCATCACGATTTCCTGCCCAATCTGCGTCAGTGAATGCAGTAAGAGTGAGTTGTTAATTCTTTTTGAGGAAGAGGTCATGATGCATGGTGAATTTGAGATAGCGCAACAGTTGTTTGGTGGCAGTCCAATGAGCTTCTGTGGGAGAGTGCATGAATTGAGCCAGTTTGTTGACATCATAGGAGATGTCTAGTCTTGTTAAGGACAGATATTACAGGGCGCCGATGACTTGACGATATTTGGTGGCATCAGCAAGTGGAGAGCCATCATTAAGGTGAAGAGGCTGAGTAGAAGACATAGGCGTTGTACATTCTTTGGCGCCTGTAATGTCATTACGTTCAAGTAGGTCCCGAAGTATTTGTGCTGAGTGAGAAGAAGACCAGAGGAGGTCGGAAGTACTTCAATGCCGAGGAAGAAATGGAGATCCCTAAGGTCTTTCACAGAGAACCGTGTACCTAGAGTAGAAAGAAAGTGATGCAGAAACGTGGTGCAGTTGCCAATAACAATCAGATCATCAACGTAAACCAGAAAATAGCATGTTATAGGTCCTTTGTGATAGATAAAGAGAGAAGCGTCACTGCGAGAGTTAAGAAATCCGAAGGAGTGCAAGAAGGTTTTCAACTCATTATACCAGGCCCGTAGAGCTTGTTTGAGGCCATATATGGCCTTTCGTAACTTACTAACAAAATTTAGATTGGACTGATCAATGAAACTAGGGGGTTGTTGCATATAAACCTCTTCAGACAATGTGCCATGTAGGAAGGCATTGTTTACATGTAGTTGACGGAGAGGCCAACCATGAGATAACGCGATGGAGAGAATGAGCCGAATTGTTAAGGGCTTGACAACCGGGCTGAATGTGTCCTGAAAATCCAGTCCTGGATGTTGATGAAAACCTTTAGCCACAAGACGGGCTTTGTACTTGGAGATTGAGCCATCAAGATTCCTTTTTATCCGAAATACCCATTTGCAACCAACAATATTATGAGATGGAGAGGGAGGAACAAGCTCCCATGTTCCATTGCGTAGAAGAGCAGTCAATTCATCGGACATGGCTTGTCGCCACTCAACATGCTTGATAGCGTGGGTGACACAAGTTGGTTCAACAGAATCAGGCAGAGGATGCTTAGTAGAGGCTTGGTAAAAGCGTTTTGGTTTGAAGATGTTGTTTTTAGACCAAGTTTGCATGGGATGAGTTGGTAATGGAAAGGAGGGATCAGTGGTTGGAAGAGCCAAGGGTTGTAAGGATGGAAGAGAGGAATTACCTGAACTCACGAAAGGAAGCAGCATGTCGTCTATGAGTGGCTGAGAGGCAGAGGCAGTGGTGACTGGTGTTGTTGAAGGAGACGTTGTTGGAGGCGTGGACGTGCAAGTAGGAATTATTGTCGTGACAGGCGAGGGCCAAGAAGTGGAGGATGAAGGAAAGATGGATGTGTCAGAGGAAGGGGTGACAGAGAAAGGGAATTCAGACTCAATGAACCGAACATGACGTGAAGTGTAGACTTTATGAGTTTTAATAACTAAGCAGAAATAAGCACTTTGATTAAGGGAATATCCAAGAAATAAGCAAGGTGATGAAGTTGGTTCGAGTTTATTAGAAGTGTAAGGCTTTAACCAGGGAAAGCACAAACAACCAAATACCTTTAGTTTGTTGTAGTTCGGCTTTTGAGAGAACAATTTTTCATATGGTGTGGAGAAATGTAAGATAGGTGTGGGGAGACAATTAATGAGGTAAATAGCCGTTTGAAAAGCGTAAGACTAGTATTTTGGTGGCATTTTTGCGTGGTGGAGAAGGGTTAAACCAGTATTGACAATGTGTTTATGTCGTATTTCGGATGTGCCGTTGTGTTGAGGAGTGTGAGGTGGTGTTTTTAGATGTTGAATGCCTTCAGTAGACAGAAAAGCTTTTAAAGCAGTGTACTCACCACTTCCATCCGAGTAAACAGTAACAATGGAACGCTTGAAAAAATTCTCAACGAGAGCTTTGTATTGACGGAAAACAGAAAAAACATCTGATTTAAGATGCAAGGGATAGAGCCAAACATATTTAGTGAAATGATCAACAAAGATAACATAATAATAGAAACCATCAACAGAAGGAACTGGAGAAGGACCCCAAACATCAGTATAAACAAGATCAAGTGGTCTAGTATTGGTAACGTTGAATCACCAAAAGGTAAACGTTGGCTTTTATTACAAAGACATGATTCACATGTAAACGTTAAAGGCATAGCAGAAGAAAGAGGAAGGCCAGAATTAACAAGTGATTTTATTTTTTTGGAGGAAGGATGGCCAAGTCGTCCATGCTAGATCACTGGAGATGTAGAGGAAGTAACACCAGTAGAGAGAGCCACAACCGGACTTGGAGAGACATCCTTCGAAATAGGCCACTCATAGAGATCATGTCGATTCTTTCCGTGGAGTAGAGGAGTCCCCGTATGTAAATCCTTAACAACAAAATGAGATGGAAAAAATTCAATAGAAGTGTGATTGGAACGACAAAATTTAGCAACAGAGATGAGATTTTGTTTGATAGAAGGAACACACAGAACATTAGATAATGTGAACGAAGGGGAAACAGAAGTAGAACTAGTATGTGTTATAGATAAACTTGAACCATCACCAATATGGATGTCATCTGGACCCTCATAAGATTGGTGAAGTGCAAGAGTAGATAACTGAGAAGTGACATGATGAGAAGCACCAGAGTCGACAATCCAAGGTGCATGAGTCGGCGATGCTACAGTGGTGTGGTTGGCAGAGGGTCGATTGGGCCGAAGTTGAGGAAATAGTTTGAAGCAACGCTTGGCATCATGCCCTCATTTATCACAGTATTGACAGACAACTTGAGAAGGTCGAGCAGTTGAGGAAGTTGAAGGTTTAAACTGAGTGGTAGTGGATATAGGAGTGGGAAGGATACCAGGGTTGGATGAGAAAGTCGGGTGTTTCGGTTGGCCAAAAGGAGGCGAGTGTTTGGCAATGTGAACCGTGGGTGGGGTGGATTCAGAAAAATGTTTGTCATTATGCAATAGGAAGGTTTCATGATCAATTATTTTATCAAAGAGCTCTTCAAAGGGAACCACGGAGTCCCGAGTCCTCATAGCCGTGATCAGTTCTTTGTAGGCTGGCCCAAGACCACGAGTGGTGTAGACGAGCAAGTCAGCGTCACTCGGGGGATCACCAAGCGCAGTAAGCTCATCTGCAATCTGCTTGATGGTCACAAGAAAATTAGTTACTGAAGAGGAACCTCGAGTGGTCATTGATAATTTGTCCTTGAGATGAATGATATGAGACGTCGAGCACTTGGCATAGAGACGATCCAAGCGATTCCATGCTTCCTGACTTGTACTGGCAGATGAGACAAGAGGAATGACAGCTTCACTAAGAGAAGCAAAAATAGCATGGAGAATCAATTAATCTTGACGGCGCCAGATGGTGTGATCCGGATTTGGAACTTGCAAACCATTTTGAGAAAGCATAGCCGAGGGACATGGATAAGAACCATCAAGATAGCCAAGGAGATCCAATCCAAAAAACATAGCATGAAATTGAGCTTTCCAGGAGAAATAGTTGAGGGACGTGAGTTTTAAGGGCAATTGAGCAGTAGTGTTGATGGTGACCAGGGAAGAAGCAGTATTTGAGGCGACAGTAGAATTGAGAGGAGAGGACGTGGTTGTAGATGAGTCTGAAGCCATTGAGACGGTGAAAAAAAAAACAAAGGATCATAATTCTCGTTAGAGTAGGGCTCTGATACCATAAAGAGTTTAGAATGATGACTTTCTATATATTTGTTTGATTACATCGCATGGTATATATATACACGTACAAATATAACTGAAGTGCTGGATTTTAGGAGGTATATTAACCATCAGATACTAGAACCTAGGGATGATCTATATTAGGTTGTTGAGGTTGTTTGAGCTTGAGAGATTCTCGGGGTTGAAGATTCTGCAGAGGTTCCCACGGTTGCAGCTGCAGAAGACTTAGGAGAGGTTGTTGCAGAGCATTCGCTAACAATTGGTGTGCTCAAAATTTGATGTGCCTATTGGGTTTCTATTTTTGAAGCTTGGTACATGTTTCTCCCCCGTAAGCGGTTTCATTTGAAATTACTAGTGGGCCAGGTCTTTGTCCGAGGTTGATTCTACTTACCTATTGGGATCATCAGTATCGGTGTTTGTAACTCTTTTAATCTATTGAAAGAATTTTTCCTTTAGAAAAAAAAAAGAAAAGAAAAAAAAACCAGAGACGTTAAAAGTATCCAAAAGAAAAAGGTCCATTTCGTTCAGCATTCAAATTGGTTTGAATAAAATGTAAACGGGGTTCGATAGAATATGTTTTTGGCAGATATGGACCTATGTATATGCATGTTTTTAGTACCGTAAATGCATATTATGCATATACTTACATGTAACCAAATTTTGTTCTTTTTCTCCTGATTCTTATGTTAAACTTTTCTTCTCCAAAGTTCTGAAGTACTTGGGTTACTTTTGTCCTCTACTTAGGACATTTATTTATTACGATTACCTAATTTTTTCTCCTAAAAAAAAAAGCTATACGTAAACTTGCAAGAGCTTTTACCGTCTCAAAATGTCAATCCTTAGAGAAAATTGTGTCAATTCACCGAATAAATTTGGTCTCATTATTCACCCATATTACTATCTGTGTAAAGTTAAAATTTTACTATAAAAAGAAGCAATATCTTCAAAAATCAAATCCTCTGAAAAGGAACATTCAAATTCAGCCCATCCGAAAAAATTATCGCATGTTCGCTTTACAACTCTAATAATTACAACTTAAATTTATTTTTGTTGCAGTGTTTTATCTTATGAAGATTTAACTTTAACTTTTTTTTTTTATAGTTTTTTCTATTACGTAAAATTTGCTTTTAAAATCGAGTCCTAAACTCGAGTTGTGAAAAAAACATAAAAAAAATAGATAAATACTCCTTAGAGAGTATGAGACTGAATTTTTACTCATTATTCTTAATTAATATCATTTTTAGTCAAATAATTAAATTAATGAAAAAGATATTAATCATGAGTAAAGACTAAAAATTTAAACTCATACACTCTACAAATTTAATAATTTTTTCTTTTTTTAGATATTTTTGGTGTTTTTTTTAAATATTAATATTTTCTATTTTTTGACCGCCACATTTATATCAAAACTTATTTATTTTATATACTTTTTTAATTTATTATTATTATAATTAAATTTAACGGTTAAAAAAAAAAAAAGAGTGTTCTTTAAAAGGCAAATGCGGAAAACACAAATAACTTGGATTGTTTGGTTTGACTACGGTGTCGTTTTGATTTTCCCTAAAACCAAAAGCAACCAAGTCCCAAGTCTCTCTCTCTCTCTCTCTCTCTCTCTCACACACACACACACACACACACACACACACACACACACACTATCCTACGGCTGTTTAAGACATCGAAAAGCCTTGCGAATTTTGACCTTCGTTTCTGTAGCACTAACAATACTCATTTCTCCTCTTACTGCTCCGATCGAACACTCTATGTATATATGGCTTCGCTGGTAATGTTTTGTTTGAATTCTCGAGCCTTTTCATTTTCTTTATGCTTTTGGATTATTACACCCTTCTTTTGCTTTAATGGGTCATTTTCTTAAATCTGGCTATTTTGTTTGGTTTCTTTGTTTTTTTTTTGAATTTTAGTTCTTGTTCCTTTTTTTAAGTTGTAGTTTTGGTAATTTATCGGCAGAAAATGAAATTGTTTGGTTGCTGAGAAAATTTTAGAACAGAGTTGAAAATTCTCCTAGCAAGCATTTTGGGTTCTGGAAGGGAATGAAGAATGTACTCGGCCATGTAGCTTGTGGTTCAAAAGCTTTCAGATTTTTAGCATGTTAAGTATAGCCTGAAACAAACACAAAACTAATGCTAGAATAAAAATTTGTTCAAATATACTTTCCAATTCCAGGAACATAAACTCGAGGGATATGAATAATCTAAATAGAAAAATGCAAGAGGCTCTAGTAATTAAAAATAAATAAACAAACTCACAAGTGATTGTTAAGTTGACATCTTGGTTCATTTCCTCATTTTTCAGGTGCCGAATAACTGTTGGAGTTGCTTAGTCTAAGCCAATTAGTTGACATCTTGGTTCATTTATTAACAAGTGAATACTTAAAGTTTTTGCTATGAATTCTCCCTTTTCACCTTCCTCTCTCCACCTAAATCCATCATCCATCAGTCAGTTCCCACCTTACCATCAAATACAACCCCGAAATAGTTTCACCATCCTCCACCGTCGAAATCACCACCTTCATTGCCCCCTTTCTCTAACTTCTCCTTCCATCTCCCACAATTTGCTCCGCATTCGAAGATCATCCATTGTCGAAACAGGTCCTTCAGATGAGGGGGCTATACCATTGATCGACTTCGAAGAAGATTTTGTCGAAAAAGATTGGTCTTTCCTTGATTCGGGTGATCTCACTTCAAATCAAGATTACATCCAAAAGGTTGGTCGGATTATAGCCGCTGGACAGATCGAAGAAAGCTCGAGAGTTATGGTTTCTGCTACTTCTGAAGTATTTATAGATGAGTTGGTCTATTCTTCGCCCTGCAATCTTTTGCTTGTTGTTCATGATTCACTTTTCGTATTAGCTGGGATTAAAGAGAAACATGACAAGGTTAAGTGTTGGCAAGGAGAACTGATTTATGTACCTGAAAAGTGGGGCCTTTTAGATGTTGCCTTCCTCTACTTCCTTCCTGCTTTGCCCTTTACCCTTGACCACGTCTTTGGAGCTCTTGCAAAATGCTGTTTGCCAGGTAATTTTTCTTCAAGAAATTTGAGTTGATCAATTTCTTTTTCATTATTTTATTTGCCATATAACTATACACTCACTAGTGGCTTAATCATATTCATAATCTAGATCCTGAACTTCATCTTCATTTTTTTTTTTTTTTTGGTGTTAAGTGGATAACTTTTTCTTTTTCTTTTTTTGGATAAATTTTTTTCTTTTTTTTCTCATAAAATATATAAGATTTTTCTCTGGTATGTCAGATTCTGACTGTTAGAGCTGATCAAAATCAATGCAGATCAGGAAAAAAAATTCAGAATACAGTTATGACGGCCGAAAAGAGTTGTTTTTCAGTAGTTCATTTTTTCAATGCCTACTAAAATAAAGTAATAAACCATTTGTACAGGTGCAAGGCTGGTTATTTGCCATCCCCAGGGAAGAGAAGTGCTAGAACAACAGAGAAAACAATACCCGGATGTTATAATTTCCAACTTGCCAGAGAAAGTTACTTTAGAGAAAGTTGCAGCAGATCATCCCTTTGACCTGGTTGAATTTGTGGATGACCCTGAATTTTATCTTGCTGTTTTGAAGTTCAGGGATGCAAGAGATTGATTTTTGGTTTACTCATACTCGAGTTTTACTTGGTGTATCAATGTAAGAGTTCTATGCAATGATATAAGAGAAACTTTTGTATTACTCACCTGAAAGTCTACGTTTTTAGTTTTTAGTTTAATGAGTTCAATAATCCTTGCACAAAAACATTAATTGCTCGAGATTATTATAATCTCAAGCATCATAATAGATGGACTACACCACTCTTTCAATGGTTATCCTCAATGATTTATCTACCAAATGAAGAATCTTATGAAAGTGGAATTTCATCTTGGATTTGAATTTTATTCTCATTAAACTAGATTGAGTACATATTTTGATGAGTTTTAACCCTGGAGAGTTTCGATCATAACTAGATTTAAGGACTAAACTGACAATAGAAAGGAGAATTTGTAAATAAAAATGGAGATTTTTATCAATTTAACTTATTTCTAAAGACCTGTTAATCTTGAGGACTATTTGGCAATAAAAGAAGTATTAATGCAAAAATGCGGAAAAAGATACAACTTAGCAACAGAAATTTGCTTCTTTTCAACTTGGAAGTAGATGGCAAATTAACGTTCAAGCAACTTTTGTATTAGTAAACATGTTTTAGGAGGCTCAAAATCCCAAAACAAAAGTATTCAAGACACTCTTCCTGATTCCCACGTGCTAAAAATAAAAAAATAAAAAAAATAAAAACCTCATTATGGTAAATGCTTCATCAATTAAAAAAGAAAAAGAAAAAAAACTTGACCTCGTACAGGACTTTGGAACATTACGGCACTCTCAACTTTTTTTTTTTCTCTCTACATGAGGAAAAACAATTGGACAAAATGGATAACGAAATATAAAATAACCTCAAATTTTGTTTTTTTTCCTTTTTCTTCTTCCCCCAAAGCAAAGCTTATTGTGTAGTATAGACCAAATACCTCAAACTTTCATCACAAATAAGAAGACGGACTAAATTTCTGAACAGCCACGTCACACCTCACAACTATTTTAGAAGAAAGAAAAACTTATGCCGTTGCTTGCTGCAAACAAGTTGTATTCTTCAATAGTTGCCTCTTTCTTATTGCAAGCAGGATCACCCTCAACAGGATCCGTTGGACATTTTGTCGAAAAATCCCCAACAATCTCTTCCTTTGAAGGCACGGGATTTGGCTTACATCCACTTGAAAGAGCTACAGGCCCACCAAAATGAAACAAGGAAAAGCTTTTGTCACCTGTATTATGCGGTTTTCCAGGATCGTCACGTTGGAAACCTTCTCCACTTGGTGCCGCTTGTGTTGAATGCCGTCCAACCAGATCTGTGCCATCTTCAGTAGCTACATTAGGAGCTTCCTGCACATGTGGCTTAGAAATCTGAGTTTGCTCCTCTGGGTTTATTACATTGGCTTTGGCGATCGGCTGATAAAATGGAACCGGGCCAGGCGCATATAGAGGAGTAGCTAGATGCTGCATGGGACCATACTGCATGCAGAAGCGTGAGTTTCCATTCATTCCATACCCAAGAGGGTCGGCATACAAATAGTGATTTGGATGGGAGAAGGGAATTAACCCATTATTTGGAGCTGCTGGCCATGAAACTGGATTTTGATGATAATAACCCAATGTTGAAGGAGCTTGAAACACGGGGAAGTGCATTGGAGAAATCGTGCTTTGATGTTGAGAACCCATGTTAACAGCAGATAAACCATTATCAAAAGCATGAGCAATTTTTGTTGTTGGAGTCCCGATAGCGTTATTTCCAAGAACTCCATTCTGTGAACCAACAGATGTCCTACCTCCAATTGGCTCTCCTCCATTCGCGTTCTGATTTTTCCCCACTGTGGCGTTCTGGCACTCTGAGACATTATTTTGAACGAGATCTGAAGTTTCTTTTTCTTCAGATTGCAGGCTGGAATCTTCTGAATCCGAAGTGGATGATGATTCGTGGTTTCCGAGATTTGAAGAAGCTGTGTTGCTGTCCCCTTCCTCACTTAGACATGATGAGCAGTTATCGGAACTGGAACTGATACTCGTAATAGGATCAGAAGACCGATTGGATGTAGAATTAACATAATTTAGTGCAGAATTGTCCACACATACTCTCGTTTTGTCACATCCTTTCTTTGAGTAGAAAGGTTCCCCTTCTCCCAGGAGACGTCCATTCTGGCAGCCTAAATCACTTTCAATGGTTGAGTTTGTAGATTCCTTCACATTGTTGTCCTCATCAACTTCACATGAATTTACACTAAACTCACCTGAACATAATCCACCAGATGATTTGACAGGGCTACTATTAGGCTGTGCTCCCTCAACCTTGAAAGCAGATGGCTTCAAGGTAACATCGGAGTCCGAGTTACTTCGGGCATACTTTTTCTGTGACTCTAGTGGTTCCCAAACTTTCTTGGAATGAAGATCTCTAGCAGAGGAATTCACGGAGACAAATTTGCTTTTGGGTCTTCCACAACTATCATGCATGTGATCTATTTGATTGTATTTGTTACCACGATAGAATTGCTTGGATATCTCCAACACAGACTCTGACTTACTCCCCGATTTTGTCTCCCCACCTACTCTAGAAACATGTGGCTCAACCTTTGCTCTATACTCAGTGTTTTGGTTACAACTACAAGAATGGAAGTCATATCTGTCGCTCATCCTGCCATTGCTCGAGCAGTGTAACTTCTCACCGAACTTAAGACCACAGTGTCGACTATTTGACTTTGTGCCATTTACCCTTGATTGCTTGTTGGATAAATTGACGGCCCTCTGAGACTCAAAATTATCACCAAAACATCTTATCTCAGATCTGTTGGCACCACTTTCTGGAACAACTGCATATCGGCGTCTGTCAGGCCACTTCACAGACACAGACAGATCTGGTTGAACATCTTTCCGAAGCTTTGATCTCCGCCGGGTATATTTTACTTCAACAGAAAAAGAACCATTAAAATTAATTTCTCCATCATGAAACTCGAAGGAGTTATGTGTTCTTGAGTTGATATGACCATTTGAAAGCTGTTCATCTTTAACATCAGGAGATCCAGGCCTGGATGGAACATTATCACCTGCTTCACCAATTGACTTGCTGTGGCTTATGGAATTATTTGGCTCCTCATCAACAACTATTGATGATGCTTCCTCCGGGACTACATGAACATTAGGAGATTGCATTGGCTCACTGAAGTTTTTATCCTTTTCTTTTCCTTTTAACCGTTCCTTTCTTCGAAGCTTTTTCTCTCTTTCTTTTGTTCTTCTCCTCTCTTTACGTTCTTCTTCTTCACGCTTTTCCTTCTCTTCCTCTTCAAGAAGTTTCATCTGTAGAGAAAGTTACAAACTCGTCAGAACTGTTTCTCCTAAAGCAATGAACTTGTCTCTAACACATGACTCGCAGCATGTAATGTGAAAAATTCACAAGATTCACAACCTGTTTCTCCAGTGTAATGATTTCTTTGCATGCAACATGAACTCGCTCTTCCAACAGTTTTAGTGCAAGACAAACAAAGATACTATGTGCATTTTGGCGGGCTGTTCCTTCTCTAAAGGCTTTTTCAACCTGGGAAAAAACAGCAAAAACAATCAGCATAAAATTTTCTATCTGGCGGGCTGTTCCTTCTCTAAAGGCTTTTTCAACCTGGAAAAAACAGCAAAAACAATCAGCATAAAATTTTCTATTGCACATTAAAACGCTCGAAAATACACTGGCATAAGCACATGGTAGTTAACTGGGTTCTATTATGTGCAACCAACTACACGGCTAAACTGATTCTTTAGGGAGATCTGAGTGGTAAATTTTTCCGGTTTACCTTGAGGTCGTATAATCAGGCATCTTTCCATCAATTCAAGATGGCCAATTTGTCTTTTCTTTCCCCTCATTTTGGTGGATAAAGCAACAACTTAATCCTAATGCTTGCTTAATAAAATTTTAAATAAAGAACAAAACAACAATTTTGAAGAGAATAAGGCATTCATTCTTCTAAACCCCCAACAGCACATTATAGAAACGCCTTCAACAAGATGGGAACATCTCGCGCGCACACACGCGGGTGCGTGAGTACATAATATATATAATTATGAAAGACAAACAACAACCTGCAGACTGAACGTACCTGTTCCTTGAAAATAACTGTTGCAGCATCTAGAAGAAACTCTCGAGCAAGTTCAGGACTCTTCGCATGTTTCTGGGGACGGGAGCACTCTCCATCTAGCTCATTTCCATCCTTGTCCATGGAATCATCATCCTGAAATAAAATAATATACTAGATAAGTATTAACTCCCCAAAGCACCAATCAGATAAACATTTGTCAAATTGTCTAGTGCACAAAAAGAAAGTAGAGTTTGAAAGCCTTGTGAAACGTGAACTACCTCTTCTTCTTCTGCTTCTTCAGCATGCTCAAAAAACCTTCTAATGCTTTCTCCTCTTGTAATAGTTACATAGCCATCCCCAACCACAAGCCTGCAATGCACGCATTGTCCACCTTTCAATGCATGAGCTTTCACAGAAAGTTCAGTGCAACGGCCATCGACTTTCCAAGCCCTCAAGGTGATGAAGCATGCACTTAAACCGCCAAGATCTAGACCATTGACCTTAACACTTCCATTCATGCCAACATTTTCAAATTCAAGAATGTCAGATTTTCCCTCGCCTGTTCCAACTGCCCACTCAAAGTGATGGTATGTGGCTGGAGTGTCAGCAAAAGTTTGGTGCCAATCAGCGTGGATAGTATCATCAGATACCTGCAAAGCAACACACCAAAAAAAAAAAAAAAGAATGGCACGTAAATTACACCGTATTATTGCTACATTTGAGAAGTATCTACGTTATATTGTCTAGTTTTCAAAACATTGTCTTCAACAGGTTGTTAATTCATTGATAAATCATCCATTTGGAATAAATAAATAAAAATATATATATAGGAATTAGAGAGAAGTAACAACTTAAAGAAATGCACAAGGCACACCTCATACTGAAAGACTGTATCCGCAACACAAAACCAACTAGTGCACCGAGGTTCTCTTCGCAAGCGCTTCAGCTCCTTCAGCTCCTTGAACTCTCGAATAACATTTCTTCTGCAGTCTCTGCAAAATCTCTTGCTGTCAAACCTGTTACAAGAACTCAAATCAATACGAAAAGCACAATAATTTAAATAAACTTTTAAGAGTAACAAGTAGCTAAGAGTCAATTGGAGGGTGCAAACAAAAGAGACATCACAAGATATATAAGTAACTTTGTGAAACCAACACCCCTAAGGAAGAACATCTTGATAAGGGCCAGCTAATAACTTTATGTGAGCTGCAAACTTCTAAAGTATTAAGCTCACAGCACATATCAAGTAGTAAGAGGCAGAAAATCGCATTTAGCCTTGATATAAACTGCACATATCCATAAATGAACACTTAGCTATGAAGTTTTTACTGTTCAATAAACTATTATTTTAGTTTAGTATAATCATTTAAAAGAACGTGACTTTTGCACCTATTGTCTCTCACTGCTTCTCTTCACATACCTTTCCCTCTCTTAAAGCCCTCAAATCACATAAACAAGTCCAGACTATATCCTTTTATGCAAATCTTTGGATTCAGTTATATTATCCTTGTGAGATCTATATTGAAGTACTGGTGCTACTTTTTTAGTTTCTGTTGCTGTGAAATAGGACCTTAGCAATAGATATCAAGATTTGTAATCCAGTAGGGTTAACTCCTTAAAACGGCCTACATCTGTGGCATAAAATTTCCCGACAGAGACAATATTGTTCTACCCTCTGGTCTGATTATAACCTCAAACAAGGACAAATATAGGAAGCCTTCATATTGAGTCCTTCAAGGGAACCTTCATGAAGGATATGTTGCAAGTCTTTTGGTATTGGTATTCATGAGTTCTACATTCTCAACTTGTGATTAATAATGCCCACATTTTCTGCTCCTTCATCACATGAAATCACAATCAATAAAACTGCAAAGCCAAAACCCAACTTATTAAGGAGGGGGCTGTATAAAAGACAAACCCCCTAAATCTTTTTTATCAGTTTTAAGCTAGTTACCAGACTCTAAGGAAGTCATAAGTGCATTGCAGATCATCTGCAGTGATAAATCCAGTTTTCCAGGCATTGGATGCCCTCATAAATAACACCAATTTCAAGGTCCACCTCAACATATAAGAATACAGGCTACTTCATATCAGGTTTAGTATCAATGAGAATGCAGCTAGCCTTTGTGTTAAGGGAGCCCCCTCAATGAAGCACGCAGTTAAACCACCTTCATTAACCGCTTATCAACCACCATTATGTAGATCTAATCTGAAGCATCAAGCATGCATTTAACAACTACTATCATATATCATCATTCCGTGCAACTGACTGCTAATTCAGTTGAACTGCTATTTTGAGATTGAACTCACATACTTCTTCACTGATTGCACAGTTTCAGGAATCTAAAAATGCTTCAAAATGTAGACAAAAGAAAGGTCAATTTGCTTATACTGCACACAAGAATTCTGCTCTTTCTAAAGACAGTTTTACGAGGGTGACCACCCCAATATAAGCATTAAGATCAAGCTTCCAACAATAATGGGTCAACTATCCACACTTTGAGCTCTACTGATTTGCATGAAATTCCAAACAAAAAGGTTAAACGAATAACTAAACACCTGTACATGAGCCTCTCGATAAAATCCTCTTCCTTCATCCTTAAAAGAGATTGCCGAGTTTCTTCTCCAAGTGCTGACCAAAAATCAACCAATGTGTCACATGAAAGCCTGGCAGTATGCAGCGCACATGTTTCCCTTGTCCCATGTCCTCTTCCATAACCTACCATTCCTTGGCTTATCCAACCTCGACCTCCCCCACCGCAAGCGTCGGGATAAAGTAATTCCCTTTCTCGTTCCCTTGCACGTGCACTATCAAATACCTGATTTAAACAAAAATATTAGCAACTAAATGGAAGGCATAATATAAAGGTTTGAATGTGTTTTAGACTCCTCAGCATTTACATTTTGAAGCCCCTTGAGAGACTTTGAATACAAATAGCAATCCATAAGTGTGAGGGACCCATCACGTGAGGTGGTCAGACCACCCCAAGGATGGACAGAAGGATCTTGTATTTCATCTTGACACCCAATTATGATGCTCGATTCACCATCATTTTGATTGCTCGATGCTCCGCGTCTGTTGCGGGGAAGGAGCCCACTTGCTCCCTCTTGTTGTAAAGACTTCCCATACATCACAATCTGCAAAAACCCCTCGAGCAGCAGCCCATTGCACCGAGAACAGTACATGTTCTTTCGTGCTTGTTCAAAGAGAGTTTGCTTGTCAACTCGCAGAAGTTCTTGCCGAGCTTGTGGTGACAGTTCGTTCCAGAACTACATTATAAGTAAACAGCACATTGTCAGCGACAACTCACTTCATTTCATTTGTTGGAAATAAATTCAAATTAAATTATGTGCAACATATGAACACCGGTGCACTATCGCTTGAAAGAAAAGAAAACGAAAGTGACCGATCCAATACTAAGCCAATAACTTCATTCAACGCCAAAAAAAAAAAAGAAAAAAAAAAAGAAGAATTACACTAGGCTTACAGCTATACATATTTACCAAATCATGCTCTCTGCCAAGAAATTGTTTGTCATTGGCAAATATACAAGAATTACAAGCAATTGCCACACTCAGAAAAGTAATGGGAAAACCACTCAAATTGCAGAAACGGCAAACATTTCGCAATTGTCACAATATATTTACTCAGCATCTTCATTTCTAGTAAGATACCAATCTCAGTACGTGAAACTACAATTGTTGAGAAGATCTAGGACATCAAAAATTCACACTCAAATCGAAATGTGAGCACTAACCAAACAGCCAAACGTGTAGAACGTCAAAAGACAGACACTACGTATAACTTGAACAACAGGATCCAATCCAAACTCAAGCTAAGCTATTGCAATTTACAAGAGCCCAATGCAAGAAAAAATTATCTAAACCAATCAAATTTGATCCCAAAAGCTCAAAAATAAATAAAAGAATATGGCGATACAACGAATCCAGTACCTTCTGGAGCTGATTGTAGCTGACATCGTCGCGGTGTTTCGACCAAAAACCGTTGGCCGAAGAAGAGAGCGAGTACATCTGCGATGAGCCATTACTGAATTGGTCATTTCTCTGCGCTAAACCAGGCATTTTAATTCAATATCTCTCGCAATTCATTCGCCGCAAGTTCCCATTCCTAATCCTTTCACTGTCCGATACGGATCGAATCCGCCATATCTCTAATCATCGAAGCAAATCCAATACCGAAAAAGGAAGAAATCAAAACCTAGAAATCGAATTGAACTCCGTAAATTCGGATCGAGAAACGAAAATGAACGTCGCCGTTGGATCCAAATGGAATTGAAATTGGAGGTGAATCGGATTGGAATAAGGGGACGGATTGGGCGTGATTGGATGGCGAGAAAATTGAATTGGAAATTTTCTAGAGAGAGAGAGAAAGAACGTGAGGGGTTTTTGATTGAAGACGATGAGATTTGTTGCGCTGCGTTTATATATATTTGTTGCCAAGGGGCCTCTGGTAATGCTATGCACGGTTAAAAGCAAATAAGAGATGTAGAGAGAGAGAGAGAGAGAGAGAGAGAGAGAATACTGTTACATTACAAAATTAACGAGCTTAAAATATCTATATAATTATCAAATTAATTGAAATGATAATAATTAATAATTTAAAATCTGTTTAGTTCACTGATTCGAGTTTTTAATTTAAGTTGAAATATTATTTTATGTGAGAGTTTTTTACTGTAGTAATAAAGTTAGATGTGACTGTTTCTGAGAGCTTTTTATTGTAACAAAACTCGAATCGGTGAAATGAACGACGCCTTAATAAAATAAAATAAGAAAGATTCTCTAGTACGCCGGCATACCGGTAAGTCAAGTTTTTCTAACCGTTAAATCTGCGTACTTTTTTATTTTTACGTGTTTTTATACAGATCTGACAGATAAAAAACCTAATATATTGATATGTTGGCATACCAGTCCCATAAAATAAATATTAGTATATGTGAACTTTGTAGAATTTGGGGGGTTTTTTTTTTACTTTTGTTTTCTTTTTGGGTTATACTTGTGATTTAGTCATTAGCTAATGAAAAAAGACTGGTATTGTAAATAATTTTTTTATTGTGCATAAAACATTTTTTTATCTTTTATGGTTTTGGACTTAGCTTATTTATATTGGCCTCAAATATTAGTGCTAGTTTATTAAATTATGCATTTAGAACTATAGGCGTTAATATTGATAGATGTTACTATCATCCTATTAATCTTACAAATGCAAACTATTGAGTTTGGTATAGCTCAACTTGTATATTATGTGATCCTTTTAAAAATTTGTATTTTCTAGTTTTGTATTAAGTGAGATCAGCCTCTTTATTGTCTAAATAATATAATATTTGATGTCATATTTTTGACTTCTTAGATTGTGAATTAATATGCGGCATTTGTATTGTTCTTTGAAAAAGTGAACATTTATCACTGTTTCTTCACTTCGCCCATAGATTTACAACCCATCTCGAAGAAAAAGAAAAATAAGATTGCATTTAATGATGTCATTTTTATAACAAAATCTATTAAAATGCGGTTAAAAAAACAAAAAACAAAAAATTGTTTTTTTATTACGATTCTTCTTCTTTTGGTTGTCAGCTTCTAATGTCAACATAAATTTACCCAACCAACAAGGGAGAAAAAAATGGAAAAATGTGATTGTACATAATGATGTCATTTTGATAACTGAATGAACAAAATTTCAGTAACAAAATTTATAAAATATATGAAATGACGAAAATGACCCTTAATGGCACATTGTTTCTTCCGGGAACAGTGGAGGTGCCTACAGAGTAGAGAAACTTGACCGTTCACCATTTTTAATGTAAAAATTAATGTGAATTATATATTAAACATTTAAAAGTATGATATATTATGTTATATTTTTATTTTTATTTTAATACATAATGTTATTTAAAATAAATCTACTTTTATTTTTAGGGACTTTTTATGACGGTTTTGTAAAAATAGATTACCTATAATCTCTTATTTTTCAATTATTAAATCTGTGTTAGAATATGTTTGTTCTGCATATTTTTTTCAATATGTTGCTTTTAACTAGATATAATAGTTAAAAATTGAAACTACTAATAGAGCTTAGCAGAGAAACTATTTTATTTTTAAAATAATTAGAAAATGTAAAAGTTATAATAATTACATGAAAAATAAACATCTCAACAAATAATAATTAAATATTAAATTTTTCACATGCTATATTTAGTGAAAAATTTAACACAAATGTAAAATTTGACACAATAGTATTACATTAGATAATTTTTTTACACTCAAATAATAAATATTAAATTTATAATTAACATATCAATTATAGCATTGTATAGCATTGTATTGAAGAGTAAAATAGTAATTTTGGCACGTGATTTAACCGTTTTCCTTTTTTTTCTCCTCGCCACATTTTTCCCTTTAAAAAGTTCCATAGAATAATAACAAAAAGCCGTAAAGTATCAAACGGACCAAAGAGGGAAAGCTCCATTCTGCATTATCAATCATATAGCGCCACGTGTCAAAACTTGCTTAAAACAGGCCAGATGGAGACTTGCAGACGAGTTTTTCTTCTTTTGGGACTAACATGCTGTTACTCTATACTCTCTTCTCCTTTTGTTTTTGTTTTTGTTTTTTTTCCTTTTTCTGGATCTGGTTTTAGGGTCTGTCCGTCTGATTAAAAGAAGAGTTAATTACATATTTATTTATTTTACGATGTAAAAAAGAAGAATGTCACAAGTTTTAATATTTGTATATAAATTTGTAAAATAATCTTTAATTATAATTTTATCTTTAATTAATTATTTTTTAAAATCAGTTATATAAATTCACAACTACACATATAAAAAAAGATATATTTAAAATTATATTATATCAGTAATTATAAAATGGACATATTAATAATATTATTGAATTAAAAATATATACTAAATAGGAAGAGTAAAAATAATCATTTTTGTATAAATACTTCTAAAAAAATTATTCACTTTTTTGGCCAAGTTAGCGAGATTTTTTTTAGAGTTTGAACTATCCACGTTATATATTTATAATTTTATATGATAAAATGGAATATCAAAAGGAAAATTCTTTCATAAAATATGAACAAAACGCGATTTTTAACCGTTAGATTATCCTCATTACTTTTTTTCCCATATGCCACAGAAATCTCAGGATTAAATTCCTTTCATCAGGAAATTTTGAATAGATGTATATAACAGAGCAAATTAAAACCCACAATAATAGAAGAAAACAGGTATCTATTTAGGAGACAAACGAAAGAATAATAACGAAAAAACCAAACATGTATAATGTTGTAACTTGTCTCTTGTGAAAGAATGGGAGTATTATGTTGTCATTTTGTCGAAACCATGAGGTAGTGTTTGAACGTTGAATTTGAAATGTTATAGTCCATGTAAATCTGAAAAAAAAAAAAATCCAATCTTAAAAAGTCGAGAGGATCTCACTGTTCAAGTCTATTGGAAAATTACAAGTTCATAAGCGTCTTCTTAAAGAGGGAGTCTCGGGTAGATTAAGTCCAATTGAATTGTAAAATAGTTCTTAGTGGATTGTTCATCATCTGGGCGTAGCCCCGCAGAGTAGGATATTACCGAACCACGATACTATTTCTTTCGTGTTCTTTTATTTTATGTTTATGCATTATTTATATTGTCTTATAAAGTGTTAAAAAACTCAAACCGGTACCAACAATATAGTCCAGTTAAAAATAAAAAAAAAAAAAAAAAAAAAAAAAAGTGTTAAAACTTTTCGTAAAATATAGGTACATGTATGTTGTATATTATAATATTAACGTAATCTACAATAAGTATGCATTGTGTGATATATAAAGAGAAATGGCACATTAAGGGTTTGTTTCAGTAGGATGGATGGAGAGAGTTGGAGGCTTAATGAGAATTATAGTAATCTTTTATGTTATTTGATAAAAGGGATAGTGAGTTAAAATGATGGATGATAATGATTTGTTTAATTACAATATTGTCCATTTTTATATTTGTTAATAATTACTTTTGAAACATAAAAAAGTCTTTTTAGTTAAATTTATGCTGATTGGTTAAATCCTTTCATTAATGCAAAGATCTAAATTTGTAGCCAGGACGGATACTCTCTTCCTTCATGCCTCCTCTTCCCCCTTTCCTCTCTCCTACCAATGCTCCATACTTCATATCCCCACTTTAAGGTTCATATCTTATCAATGGATTGTACGTCGTTGGATTTTTAGTGTGATGCACTGAAAATGTGATGGTATCAATGATTATCTTATAATGTGACTAGAGCTGTCAAATAGGGCTAGCCCGGCTTAATAACACGGAACACAACACAAACTAATACAGAATGACACGTTAAATTGTGACTCGTGTCGAACACGGTCTAATTGCATATATTAGGCTCAAGTGTTGAGCACGTTGGACTAAACACGATCTGACACGAGATATACATAACGCGACGCGACCTACAAGCACAACACAGCACGCAAGGCATGACATATTTGACACTAAATTATATACTTTTCATTTCATTTTTTCCCTCAATTTACAAAGAAGCTATAAATTATGCTATTAAAGAAAAAAAAAACATTTGATATTATATTCATGTAGAACTTTTCCACAAACATCACTATGATTCAAATCTTGTAAAATAGACAAACATACACTTTCATTTGTTGTTATGAGCAATTTAAGAAAAATGCCCTCAATTCACTTTTCAATTTGAGGTTCCTCTTAGAATTATCTCATTTTAATCTAATTCTAAAAGGAAAAAGAATTGAGATGAATATAAAAATTTTAAAAGAGGGACATAACTGCTCCAAATCTCTCTTTTGTTTATTTTTAGTGGATTGAAATTATGTTGTGACTTGTAATTAACAACCATATGTGTTCTATGTCGGAGAGGTAAGATCCACTTGTACGGCCTTCGGTGAACATTATTATCAATGTATGGAGATCCCTTTGATAATATCTAGTGGGATATGCTAACCTCTCTTTTGTTTATTTTTAGTGGATTGAAATTATGTTGTGACTTGTAATTAACAACCATATGTGTTCTATGTCGGAGAGGTAAGATCCACTTGTACGGCCTTCGGTGAACATTATTATCAATGTATGGAGATCCCTTTGATAATATCTAGTGGGATATGCTAACATTGGCCGCGCCTCCTCACACTTGTTTACCAATATATATATATATATATATATATATATATATATATAT